TGGATGAGGGTGTGTAGAAGACTGCAGATAGAACCATGTCTGTCGCCATGCACAAAACTCAAGTCCAAATGGATCAAAGACCTCAACATCAATCCAGCCACATTGAACCTCTTAGAAGAGAAAGTAGGAGGTGCCCTTGAACAAATTGGTATAGGAGACCACTTCTTGAATATAACTCCAGGGGAACTGACACTGAAAGAAACCATTAATAAATGGGATCTCTTCAAACTTAGAAGCTTCTGTAAGGCAAAGGACACAGTCGACAAGACCAAACAGCAGCCCACAGACTGGGAAAAGACTTTCACCAATCCTATATCCGACAAAGGGCTGATCTCCAAAATATACAAAGAACTCAACAAACTAGTCAACAAAACATCAAATAACCCTATTTAAAAATGGGGTACAGAACTGAAGAAAGAATTCTCAATGGAGGAAATCAAAAAGACTGAAAGACACTTAAGAAAATGCTCCACATCCTTAGCTATCAGGGAAATGCAAATCAAAACAACTTTGAGATACCATCTTACTCCTGCCAGAATGGCTAAAATTAGAAACACCAGTGATGACTTATGATGTGGAGAAAGTGGAACACTCCTCCACTGCTGGTGGGAGTGCAAACTCATACAGCCATTTTGGAGATCAGTATGGCGGTTCCTCAGGAAAATGGGAATTAGTTTACCACAGGACCCAGCAATCCCCCTCTTAGGCATATACCCAAAGAATTCACATCCATGCAACAAAGACATCTGTTCAACTATGTTCATAGCAGCACTATTTGTAATAGCAAGAACCTGGAAGCAACCTAGATGCCCCTCAATTGAAGAATGGATAAAGAAGATGTAGCACATCTACACAATGGAATACTACTCTGCAGAAAAAAATAATGGTATCTTGAAATTCGCAGGCAAGTGGATGGCACTTGAAGAAACCATCCTGAATGAGGTAACCCAGTCACAAAAAGAGGAACACAGTATGTACTCACTCATATATGGATTTTAGACCTAGATCAAATGATCACCAGCCTATAATTCACATTACCAGATGAACTAGGATACAAGGTGTATTCTAAGAGATTCATATAAAGTCATACCACAGAACTGGGAAGGGACAAGTCCCCCAGAGATCAGGTGAAGTGGGGGAGGACAGCGAATGGAGAGAGAAGTAGAAGAAAATGAGGGGGAGGAAAGGAAAACATGTGCGACCAGGAATATTGAGCCTGGTTAGGAATAGAAGACAGGAAAGAGGGAGAGAGAGAGACAGAGACAGAGAGAGAGAACATAAAAGAGGGAGCCAATATTGTTTTGAAGATAAAATTGAACACAAAGAAAGGTCGAGAAAACTATAAGACTGCTCTCAACTAACAAGTTGAGCTTACGTGGAAAGGCTATCATAAATGCCCTTCCCGGAGAGTGAGATCAACAACTAACTTCTCCATGGAGCCCTCAACTAATGCCTGTTGAAAACAGGATCAAACACCCATACATAAACACTGAGTCGAACTAGAACCCAGATGCAGATGGAGAGGACAAGACCATGCTGCAGAAACACATAGAGACAGCTTACCTAAACAAGGAGGAGCTAACGGCCACTAGACTGATAGCTGGGAAGCCAGCATGGGACTGACTCAGGCCCCCCTTATTATGGGTGTCAGCCAGAAGGACTGAGCAGTCAAAGAGACCTCAGACAGTGGAGCCAGGATGTATCCCTGGTTCACAAAAGAACTTTGCGAAAATATTCCCACATGGAGGGATAACTGCCTTATTCTAGAGATAGGAGAGAAGCCCTAGTCCCTACTTCACAGGACCTGTCAGATCTACATGACCCCAACTGGATGGCACTCCCATACATATGGAATTGTGGTGGGGGGATGGGAGGGGAGGGTGGTTAGGGTGCATGTGAGAGGGCAGAGAGGGTAAAAGGGAGGAAGGGAGAGAGGGAGGGTGAGGGAACTGGGATCGACATGTAAAATAATATATTAAACTAAAAAAAAAAAAAAATGCTTTGACTCCAAAATTTAAGTTGAAGGACAAGTTACTGGGGAAAAGGATTTCTATTTTTGTTTCCACAGAAAATGAAAAGATGTGGATTCCTTCCAGACTAATGTGGTTTGATCACGCCAGACCTCCTGAAACAGAGTACAAGCTTATCCTACATTCAAAACAGCTGGACAAAACAGCCCTACAGACTACAGCCAGGATATCTGAATCTTCTTCGAATCCCCCAAGACAGCGCCCCTTACCAGCAGGAAGTAGTTTGGAAAGAAAGACGCCCAAATTCCCAAATATTGTGTATAAATGTTTGTTTTCATTTAATTGAACTGTTATATAAAATTAAATAAAATTAAAAAATAAATGTAATGTATAATTTAGTACAGATTTTAGATAGCTACCTATAATAGTCAAAACTTATAGTTAAGTTAGTTAGGATTTCTAGATATACAGACATGTATTTAAGATGAATAGGCATTCTTCAAACCTTTCAAAGACCTACAGAATATGGCTTTTAAAATGGTTTAGGGTTTTACTTGACAATGAGGCACAATTGCTCCTGGCAACACCACCTGCGTCAGAAAGGAAGATAGACATCGAACAAACACATTATGAAGTTTACTTCTAATATGGCAAGACTAGCCGTTTGGGCAAGATACTGTTTGACTTTATGCTGTATAAACTGGACATGCAGGACCCAGAGAAAAGTGACTGCTGATTCAAGATGGACATTGCTACAGAGTTCCTGCTTCATGGAAGAGTCTGCCAGACAGTCTGCAGGACACAAAGAAAAGTGATTGACAAACTGCCAATACAGGCGGACAGTTTAAAGTTTCCTGCTTTGCTGAAGACTCTGCCAGACACACTATGGCCTATGGACTGAAGATGGAAGATTACAGAACTACAGGTGACTGACAAGGCAAGATGCCTCTGTCATTTGTAGAGTTTATATACTATCCTTCTGTGGTCTTTGAAGGAGTTGAAGACAGTTATGGTTATAGTTTTCCTCAGTTAGGCTTAATGATAATTTACATATAGGACTTCAGACTCACAAAGATAGGGTAGATGATGGAATATTGTCTTTAAATCTTGATAAATGTTAATGGACTAAATAGTGTTAACTGTGATTCTTATTTGATAACTGTTATGTGATATATTTTGCTATGTTAAGGTTAAAACCCTTCTTTTTATTTAGACAGAAAAGAGGAGATGATGGGAGATGCCATTATGTATATATGTTTCTCATACTGGTTAATGAATAAAGCACTGGTGGCCAATAGAAAAGGAAGATAGGAGGGCATAGGAGACAAGGAGGAAAGAAGAAGTAGGAAGGAGAGCCAAGATGGAGAGTCAGAAGAAAGCAGAATGCCGGCAGGCTCCTTGGTAAGAGAAATACATAGATCAGCAGAAATGGGTTAATACTTAAGACAGAGCTAGCCGATAAGAAACTACTACCGGGCCAACAGAATTATATCTTAAAAAAAAAAATAATCTTACCAATGTATTTGATAGTCAACAACAGACGTAGTAAATACCAACAAAAATTAATTATTACCACCAAATTTCCCAGTCTTGTATGTATATATTTATTTTAGGACTGTATAAATGCAACTTGTTATATTTAGTCTCATTTTAATGTATTTTGCCATGATGATCTCATAACAGTTGGCTTTTACATAGTATGAATGCTTCCAAAAATGTAAACTTAGCTCCTATCTGCTTCTGAATACCTTTTTCATCACTTGCTTTCTAAAACAGAATTGTAGGCAACTTACAAGTTGAACTGATCATTGCAATTATGTCACAATTAAGTTTCTTTATTGTTTAATTTTGTATTATTAAATGACATGTATTAATACTACCAAACCTCTTTAGTGACTAAAGCTGACAATGCAGACACCCAGGCTGACTACTATACATTATGAGAGTGGAGTGGATTTTTGTACTTTGTCAGGGTCCATAGAGGTGGCTCTGTTCCATATTGACTTAAGATCAGAGAGTTCAAAACCATCCTTGCTCTTTCATGGTTAAAGACCTAAGACCTAAAGGTCTAAGGTGTGGTTACTAGATGTCTTAATCATCAAGGTCAGATAACAAAAGGTTTGATCTAAGGTGTGGTTACTAAATGTTTAAAGAATTAAGGAAGTAATTAAGTCTTTTCCTTGTATCATGGTAAAGAAGTTTTTTGCCTTTTCCACCATTTTTGCTTAGGGTGCATAAGAAATTTGAGGAATAAACTTAAAGTGGATCCCAGTATTCTCTGGGATGTCTTCCAGACACTGTATTCTGTCCCTATCTGTTTCATTTTTCAATCTACACTCCCCCTCTCTGGTACAGACTGAACAAGTCTGCAATACCCAACAGATGCCCACTCAACATGGGGCACTGACAGGACTTTCTTCAAATGTTCAATGTAATTTAGTGGCTGTGGTTAATTTGTTCTGCTTTTCAAAACTGGTTATTGTATGACCTAGACAAACAACACTATATAGAAAATAGTCAGAGAAGTTCAATTATCTCACATTTTTTATTGTTCTCATGTACACAAAGTTCAGTGATTTCAAAGTTAACAAGACAGGCAAACTGCCATATAAATAAAACTGCTCACAAAACAAAAGATTAACACACAGAGATTATATTGAGCTATATTAAATGCTTAATGCTAAAGATAATCTTGTCAAAACATGGCAACATCTAAGGAAGCCATTACCTGGAGGGGATTGTTTTACTAATATATTCATCCCAATATTGTATTACTATAATGAAATACTGACAACTTCTTACTATGGAATTACATGGAGAAAAACTGATCTATTCCATAATTATAAGGTCAAACATCTGAAGTGAATGTGGTTGTGGAAAAGGATTTAACACATGGTTATAAGGATACATTTCTCACAATTATCTTATTTTAAAGCACCTCTCCTCTATTTGTTCCTTAGTCTATCTACATTAAAGCTAAAACAAAACTTTGAAACTTTGGTTAGTTTTATTTTCTAAAATATCACTTACCAGTGCCTTTATAGTATTTTGTACAGTTGCCATATTCGATATCTTCCTTTTTAATATCAAATTGAGGTAAAGCAATTTTTTCCAACTGAACAGGATCTCCTGACTGCCAGATGAATCTCAAATCATCGGTTGTATAACCAACTATAATAAATACATGAACATGTTAGACTGAAATATATTTTTCAATGCTCTCTTATTATTCTAGTAATCCATACTAAACATAGTAAAGGTTTTAAAGGGCATGGCATAATGTTATAGAATTGTATTTCAAAATTCACAGCTATTGAATCTATGGCCAAGCACAAAAATAACACATCATCATTATGGAGAAGAAATAGGGTTAAATAATCATCAAAATCAGATATTATCCTAGGTCATCATGTATAGAAAATCTCCTGTCTGTGTTAGCATTCATAACCACTATCAATTAAAAGGTAACAAAATAAGATAGAAGTTCTCTGCATATGTCCACTTATAATCATTCACTATGTATCTAACTTTTTTACTTTAAACTTTGCTTTTAACTTTTATTGATTCCTTGTATTCCATGAATTCAAATCCCTCTTTTCTCCCACTTGCCTCACATCCACCCTCTGCCCTTGTAACCTCCCACTAAAACAAAATAAAAATTTAAAGAAAAAGCCCAAACAAAACAAAGCAAAACAAACAAACTAAAATTAAAAATAGAATGATTTTAAATAAATCACTGAGATGTTCCTTGAAGAAATTGCACCATGACAAAAAAAAAAAAAAAAAAAAAAAAAAAAAAGCAGTAAGACTACTCCAAGTGAACATCATTATAGCTTCAGTAAAGTAACCAAGAGTTCATGGCCTGCATTTAGTATGTGGCTACAATTCAGGACTACATCCTAGAATAACCTACCACTGGATCTCAAAGACCATCAGTCTCTAAAATCCTATACAGTGTATCAAAGGAGTACATTGAGAATATGGACTTACTTAAATTTGTATTAAATATTTTCTGATATGTATGCATATGTATGGTACTGAAACACTGCATAGACTTAAAAAAAAATCTCGTTGGTAGGAAGAAAGAAATACAATTAAAAGTTAGGATTCATTTTAGTGCATTAAAAAAACAACAAATAACCACTAAATAAATAACATGTAATCTAACATACACAGTATATTTTACAAAGCTATGATTATTCATAGAAATAGCTTGATCTTTAAGCAATTATGCTGAATATTACTTTTGACATCAGTATTCATTTTTCAAGTATTTTCTAGATACAATTATCATAGGAAATTAATGTTTCATAGAAAATCAGTTTATAACATTTAATATATCTTTTATAAACTGAAAAATACAATCATAGGAACAGCAAACAAACAATTTGTAAAAATTAACTGATCTGTACTTTCATAAGAAATGCAGTTAGTTGGGCTTACATGTATTTCTATTTTCTCATATTTTTACTATGATAGTACTAAATTCAGAGAAATTATTTTGTCAGAAGACCATAATTTTGTATATATATTTTCTGTAATACTAATCCAAATAAACCTAATCTTCAGAATAAGAAACACACCAATGTCAACTCTCTAAAAGGCCAACTACAACAGAAAGATTTCTCTTCTCCAAGATTATCTTAATTGGTATGGTATTCGTATCACCAAAAGCATTATGGTTTCCCCAGTTATATAACACAATAATAGAATATATTGTGTAGATATAAGCATTGTATTTTCCCAAATCATTTATGGCCTCATTTACATACAGCTCTCAAGTTGCATCTTGCAGCGTTGTGTATCCATGGGAAACAGAGTTAAGTCCAAAGGGCATGAAAGAGTAATAGACAACCTGAAGTCAGAAGCAGAGAGATTGGAATCATTGAATATATGTTTCTGTGGTACCCTGATTACACATGAATTAAATACAAAAGTATACCTCATGCTCACAAGGACGTCTCCATCACGAAAAATAAATAATAAGATGTTTTCTTGGGTTACATCATGAAAATTGGCACTTTTTTCATTTGCAAAGAATAAGTCAGGCTTCCACAAGCACTTGTACATTGTGGGATCTACTGTCAGTGCATCTGAACCTCTGAAGTCACTAGGGAGCTTGAGCCTGGGGTCGTTCCATTTCTGTCTCAAGAAAATGTTAACTCTATAGTCCTGGGGGGAGAAAAGTACATTTCATGTTGATATATTTAGTTGCTTAAAAATAAAACAAATGCATGCATGACATGTGTGTGTATATAGCTCTTTTTTTAACAACAAACATGTTTTTACTTTCACTAGCAAACAAATATTTTCCACTTGGCTGGGTGATAGTATTATCTCAACATGAGACCTTCTAAAGGTTCCAACCAAACTCCCTGCTCCCAAAGTATGGTAAAATTAGGAATAGATAAGAAATGGGAGAAAAAAGTTTCTATTTGTCTTTTGTTAAATAGAGAAGCAAACAATAAATTGGTGAATGTATGTGAGTACATGTATATACACAATAACTCTACATATACCATTGGGCCTTGATACAAGTAATTGGTTCCAGTACTTCATATGTGTGTCAAAATCTGTATATGAAATGGCTTAGAATTTGCATAGACACTATACAATCCTATATACATTTAAACCATTAGTTCTAACAGTTAACTCCATGTAAATGTCACATGAATAGTTGTTATAAAGTATAGTTTATGGAGTAGTAAAAAGAAACAAAAGGCTGTATATGTCCAGATCTGAACATGTCCAGTGTAATGTGCATTTATGGTCAAAAATCCATTTGCACAGGAATGAACATATATACAGAACTCAGATTCAAATGTCTGATATGTGTTCTGGTGATGGTTCAAGGAAATCTATTCATAACTACTCATACATGTGAGTTATAATAGAGACTAGGGAATACAGTGAAATGAGATTTGGATTGTGTGAAACATATCAAAATGGATACAAAATTCATAATGTCATACTTCATTTATGCAAATATTAAAATATTTTAGTCAGTTATTAGTTCATGTTCAGAAACTGTAATTCCACAAAATTGTAAGAACAAAATTTTGTTGGCATTTGGTACTAAAATACATGAAGAAACCATGTTTGATTGCCTAAAGTATTTTATATTTGCCAATGAGTAGGGATCTCTGATCAGACATGGCGGTATGTACTTGGGAGGCAGAGGCAAGATGACATTTACATAATGAGTTCCAGGTTCACCAGTGCTATTTCAAAGATGAGAGAGAGAAAGAGGTGGGGGAGATAAAGTTCTGACACAAACTGGATCATCAGTGCACACTAAAATTCATTATTAGTGACTTTTACTTCATCCACTATACTCAGAATGTGTAAGAAAGTATTCAAGGCATAAATTACATTGGGTTTCAAGACCTTCTTCACAGTCTATAATCTAAAGTTCATATTTTATCCCTCCAAGGCCTTTTGGACAATAAATTGAATAGTAAACATAAATTCTAGATCCAACTAAATAAATATAAAGAAGTGGCAGATCACTTTTACTAAAGAGTAAAGACAATACTTCTCTATGAGGCATAAATATATATATTTTAAAGCATAGGCTGTAAGCATAGACTCCAGAAAAAAAAAGAAAGAAAATTTCCTCTTCTAATCAGTTTGTTTTTGTGTTCAGCTTCTGTTTACTATTTGAAGAAGGGCAAGACATCCACTAACTGCACTTACCTAGCTGAAGCTCAGAAATCTCTATCACCAACTTGCACTGGATGTTTGTAAAAACTGCAACACATTAGGTATGTCAACTTCACATAAGTGGCCACTGTGTATTCTACAAACATACTATAATGTCCCACTGTTCATGTCAATATGAATGTCAATTAAAAATATAAAGTGATTTTAAAATTCAACATATGAATTAAGTCTCAAAAATCACATGCTGTTTGTCTAGAAGTTCCATGTCAAGCCAGCTAAGATTATATCAACATGTCTGCATGTGTCTGAACACCTGACCTTACTGGGGCTGCACTGAAAAGAGAAGACTCTTTTAACCAAATGAACTTGGACCCAAATGGAGTAAAAGAGCCCTGTCATTCAGAATACAAAGACTGGCAGTACAATGTGCAACATTACTACATTAGCACACAGGCTCACATGCACATGTGAGCACATACATACACTTGCTTAGGCTCTCTCTCTCTCACACACACACATACACACACACACATGCACACCCTGCACCTACACAAATTTATAATTCTAATGAAGATAAACGATTATTTATCAAAACAACTATGACAATTCCAAGCTTCCAAGAGACACAATGATGCTCCTGACAAACCTCTGTGTCTGCTCCACACAACCATTTATGACTCCCGCTTCAGGACTAATATACATCATGCTAAGTCAATTTCTTATAAAGTTTTGATCATTGTATTTTACCTAAGCCCAGGAGGGGATTCAACTTGAGATCATATTCATTCAAAGATATTTCATTTCAAATTGTTTACTGTCTCTGACATGATCTGCACACCACATCAGTATATATTTAAACACATAAACTTAAATATGTATTAACTGTATTATTATAGACAATGCATTTTTTATTGTTTTTTTTTTTCTTTTATTGTATATCAATCCCAGGTCCCTCTTCCTCCCATCCTCCCATGCCCCCGGACCCCCTCCCATCCCATTCCCCACCCACTCCACAGGGAGAGTGAGGCCTTTCAGGAGGGATCATCAAAATCTGTCAAATCATTTGGAGCATGTCTGTCTCTAGGTTAAGGGAGTATTGCTCTATGGACAATGTGCTCCCAAAGTTCTTTCATGCACCAGGGATACCTCCTGCTCCCAATGTCAAAGAGGTCCCATAGACTGCCCAGGCCTTCTAACTGAGACCCATGTTCAGGGGGTCTGAGTCTGTCTAATGCTGGTTTCCCAGCTATCAGTCTGGGCTTCATAAGCTCCCCCTTATTCAGATCAGCTAGATAATTCAATCTTAACCAGGATTAATATAGAAAATACTATAGGACTCTGAGTTCCCACCAGCAAGATCCCTGACCCCCAAAGCAGGGCCTCTGCTAAAGAAAAGAGGCCTCAGCTGGAGAGTGCCAGTTTCCAGTGAGATCTTACTATCCTGCAAAAACTTCCCAAGTTTCAGCTCAGCCTTTGTCCTCTTCCCCCAGCCATTGGCTAGAGGTGAGTCTGGGCTCAATTGGGGTGGCCTCTCCCCTACAACCTCTCCCCCTCTCCCCAGAACTCTCTGGGTTGGCCCCTGATCCCACTGCTCCTGTGTCCTGTCCCCATCGAGAGCACCCTTGGAGCTCTGATACACGCCCAACCATCCCCACCATGAGCCTGCCCCCCCTTATGCTGTGCCCTACCCCACCCACTGTCCTGCCTCTCTGGTTGAGCACTGGGACAGAGGGTGGAGCCAACAGTTCACCCTATTTCTGAGACTTCTCAGAGCAACTCTGAACAAAGAACACCTGCCTATCAATGCAGGACCACTCAAAATTTCCACCTGCTTGGTCTCTGAACCCACCTCCAGTCCTCTGCTGGAGTCCCAGGCCCCTCCCAGAGATCCACCTTTTTCTGCGGGTCCACTCTGAGTTCTTGCCAGCAAGATCCTTGACCCCCAAAGCAGGGCCTCTGCTAAAGAAAGAGGCATCAGCTTGAGAGTGCCAGTTTCCAGTGAGATCCGATTAACGTGCAGAAACTTCCCAAGTTTCAGCTCAGACTTCGTCTACTTCCACCAGCTGTTGGATAGAGACATTGTCTAGAGGCATCTTCTAATGGATCCTCATCCTGACCCCATCCCTGGGTCCCTGTTTGCAGAGAAACATCCTATAGAGCTTGGACCACCCAGAACTACAGATACTGAATCTCTGACCTACATAAGCCCACCAGGGAAGTACCATAGAGAGAGGGGGAGACCCCACCAACACCTACTGGAAGAAGCTATGGGAAGATGGCAATAGAAGAAAACACCTAACAACAGAAAGACAAGCATGACACCACCATAATCTAGGGAATCTACACCAACTAGAATGGAACACAACAACAAAGCAGAGGAAGAAGAAGGGAATGACTTAAAAATTACCATCATAAAAAGGATAGAGGCCCTCAAAGAAGATGTGAGAAAATTCCTTAAAGAAATGGAGGAAAAAACAAACAAAAAGTGGAAGAAATGAACAATTTCCTTAAGGAAAGTAAAGAAAGTACAGAAAGCCAAGGGGGAAAAAAAAAAAAAACCATTAAGCAGGTGAAGGAAACAGTTCAAGACTTGAAAACACAAATAGACAAAATAAAGGCAACACAAACCGAAGGATGCTGGAAATAGAAAAATTGGGCAAACAATTGGGAACTGTAGAAGCAAGCATAACCAACAGAAATCAACAGATGGAAGAGAGAATCTCAGGTGTAGAAGATAAACTAGAAGAAATAGATTCATCGACCAAAGAAAATCATAAATCCAACAAATCCTTAACACAAAACATCCAGGAAATGTGGGACACCATGAAAAGGCCACACCTAAAAATAATAGGCATAGATGAAGGTGAGGAAGCCCAGCTCGAAGGTGCCGAAAACATATTCAACAAAATCATCAAGGAAAACTTTCCCAATCTGAAGAAGGACATGCCCATGAAAGTAAAAGAAGCATACCAAACACCAAATAGGTTGAACCAAAGAAAGAGGACCCCTCGACATATAATAATCAAAACACCTAGCATACAGAATAAAGAAAGAATATTAAGAGCAGCGAAGGAAAAAGGACAGGTAACATATAAAGGCAGACCTATCAAAATTACACCTGACTTCTCCATGGAAACCCTCAAGGCCAGAAGGTCCTGGACAGATGCCAGCCCAGGTTACTATATCCAGCAAAACTCTCACTCACTAGAGATGGAGAAAACAAGATATTTAATGACAAAATCAGATTTTCCCAATACATATCTACAATTCCCGCCCTACAGAAAGTATTGGAAGGAAAACTCCAACCCAAGGAAGGTAACTACACCCACCAAAATGTAGGCAACATATAATCCAACTACTCCAGAAACCAAGGGTAAAACAGAAAAAAATATATTCACAATACCACTGCCAACAACAAACCTAAAACAAACAAGAATTAACAATCAATGGTCCTTACTCACCCTCAACATTAATGGTCTTAACTCACCTATAAACAGACACAGGCAAAC